GAGGAGAGAGAGAGAGAGAGAATTTTTAATATTTATTTTTTAGTTCTCGGCAGACACAACATCTTTGTTGGTATGTGGTGCTGAGGATCGAACCCGGGTCGCACACATGCCAGGCGAGTGTGCTACCGCTTGAGCCACATCCCCAGCCCTTTATTTTTTTTAATTAAAAAAATATTTTTGGTACTGGGGGTTGAATCCAGGGGCCCTCAACTACAGAGTTACATCTGCAGCCCTTTTTATATTTATTTTTTTGAGATAAGATCTTACTCAGTTGCTAAGGCTAGCTTTGAATTTGCTATCCTCCTGCCTCAGCCTCCCCAGTTGCTGGGATTACTGTGTGCACCACTGTGTCTGGCTCTTTTGTTTTTTTAATTTTATTTTTTGGTGGTGCTGGGCATTGAACCCAGGGCCTCATGCAGCTCAGGCAAGTGCATCTGTACCCCTAGCCCTAAATTTTTTTTGAAATCTGAACACTGTGGCCTCCACCTGAAGTCCTAACTACTTAACAGGCTGAAGCAGAAAGATTGTGGTCAGTTTGAGGTCAGCGTAGGCAACATAGTGAGACCTCTTCTCTTTAAAAATATTAAACAGCCATATTAAAAAATTACTTTTTCCCTGGGTTTGATACCCAGCAATGCAAAAAAAAAAAAAATCATTTTTGGCCAGGTGTGGTGATACATGCCTATAATCCCAACTACTCAGGAGGCTGAGATAGGAGTATTTCAAGTTTGAGGGTAGCCTAACCCTGTCTCAAAATAAAATAAAAAGGGCTGAGGATATTGCTCAGTGGTGGAGCACTTGCCTAGCATGTGTATGTGGCAATGGATTTGATTTCCAGCACTGAAAAAAATTTTCTTTGAAAGAAAAAGAAGCCAATCATTACAACTACATTTCTTAAAAATATTGGAAGTTGAAAAGCACAGCCTTGGTATAATTGCCTTTATTGTTGGGGCTGGGGATGTGGCTCAAGCGGTAGTGCGCTCACCTGGCATGCGTGCGGCCCGGGTTCAATCCTCAGCACCATGTACCAACAAAGATGTTGTGTCTGCCGAGAACTAAGAAATAAATATTAAAAATTAAAAAAAAAATATTTGCCTTTATTGTCACCAAAATTTTGACTTGGTCTAAATGATTTTGGGGATTTTAAAATTTTCAAATTATTTGAATTGTTGGGTCTCTGTATTATAGGAAGATAGCATAGGAATTAAACCTTTATAATTCAAATTTTGATATAAGTTCTTTTTTAAAAATTTTTTTGCAGTACTGGGAACTGAACCTAGGGCCCCACACAATGCTGTGCAAGCACTCTACTATAGAACTATATCCCTAGCCCCTTTTTTAATAACTTTTAAGACAAGGTCTAGCTAAGTTGCTGAGGCTGGCCTTGAACTTGAATTCTTTCTGCCTCCAGCCTCCAGAGTAGCTGAGAGCCTTGTGCCCCGTGATATCATGAATTCTTATTTATACAAAACTAGTACACTAGTGTTTTGTGAATGTAGTTATTAAGGTTTTTTTTTTTTTAACTGTATTTTTTTATATTGGTGCCTTACATATAGTTAGACAAAATAAAGTCAGGCACACATTTGTAATCTCAGCAATTTGAAAGGCTAAGACAGGAGGAGCACAAGTTTGAAGCCAGCCTCAGCAACTTAGCAAGACCCTCAGCAATGTATTTATTTATTTAAAATTTTAAATTTGTAGATGGACACAGTAACTTTATTTTATTTATTTTTATGTGATGCTGAGGATCAAACCCAGTGCCTCACAGGTACTAGACAAGCACTGTACTACTGAGCTATAACTGCAACCACTACCCACAGCAATTTAGATAGATCCTGTCTCAAAAAAATACAAAGGACTGCTGAGCATGTTGGCACACTCCAGTAATTCCAGTAACTTGGGATGCTGAGGGAGGCAGGAGGATTGCAAGTTCAAAACAGCCTTAGTGGGGTGGGGAGACTGGGGTTGTGGCTCAGTGGTACCAGGTGCTCACCTAGCACGTGTGAGGCCCTGGGTTCTATCCTCAGCACCACATAAAAATAAATATATAAGTAAAGGTATTAGGTCCAACTACAACTAAAAAATAAATATTTAAAAAAAAAAACAAGGGGCTGGGGATGTGGCTCAAGTGGTAGCGCGC